CATGCTAAAAAAGCTATATAGCAAACGTAAAGTGTATTTTTGATAATTCGGTATTTGTCTGGTTTAATATGCCTATTTGTAAAGAGGGACATGCTTTTGGGCCACAACGTGACTTCACATGTTCACATAAGCACCCATTCTGTTTACGTCCATGTTAGTGGCGTTTTGACTGGTATCCAAATCGTGAAAGACATGAAAATTTGATTAACACTGTGCAAGAAAAGATATCAATTTTTGAGTAATTTTTTTTGTGGTCAAAATTATTTTGACCATTTTCGACCAATTTTAGACAAATGTTTATTTTCGTTATAAAATGGTCAAGAAAATATGATTAAATATAAGAGTCGAAAATTGGTCGAAATTTTTCGACCAATTTTTAACGGATTCGTAAGTTTGTCAAAAAATGGTCGAAAACTTGCGACAAAGAAAATTTGTTGAAAATTGGTTATGAAAACCGTTAATTTTTTACCAAATTTTTTACCAATAAAATGGTCAAAATGTTTGTTGACAAATTTTCGACCAAAAAATTATGAAAATTTAAATTCGTCAAAATCTGATCAAACTTTTTTTGACTAATACAAGTGGTCAGTAAATAGTCAAAATATTCTTACCAATTATCGACTAAAACAAAATTTGGTTGAAACTTCGTGAGTAATTTTTGACGAATAAATATTTGACAGAAATTGATCACAACATTATCGACCAAATATCGATGAGAACACCTCTATTGTATTTATCCCACATCGCCAATATGGGAGGGATGACTTTGACTTTCTCTATAAAATAACACTTACTCTATTGTGAAAAACGTAAATGGATTTCATAGCTCAAATAATAGAATTTTGAAATATTTTAATCATGATTGAATGGATATTTTGAAATTATTATGAATCAAATATTTTAAATTTGAATTTTTATATTTTTGAATATTTTTTTTTGAAATATTTTATATTTTAATTGTTTTAATATATTTAATTTTATTTTAATTATTATGAATCAAATATTTTAAATTTGAATTTTAATATTTTCGAATTGATCAAAATATAGTTCTAAAATTTAAATATCTAAGTTGGTCAAAAATTGTTAGAATATATGGTCTAAAATTGGTCAAAATATATAATTCCGATCATTTTGATTGATCAAAAAAATTTGACGATTTTATTGGTCAGAATCAAAATTTTGACTATTTTGTTGGTCAAACCCAAAATTTTGACCATTTTTATTGGTCAAAACGTTTTGACTATTTTCTGACAAAAATCCATTTGCGACCATTGATTTTTGACGAATCGATTTTGGCCAATTTTAGACCAAATTAATAGTCAAAATTGGAATGTTTTCTTGTAGTGACAGCTTTGGGAAGAATGATAAGTTTATTGAAGCATGAATTTGGATTATATATCATTTAAATAAAAACATATTATTGTAAGAAAATATTATCATTTACTTTGTTATATGTTTCTCCGATTGAGAGAAGGAAATCAAATGTGCACATGGATTTTGTAGAGTGCTAAGTGTATTTTTTCCATTTAGTGGTTCTCATGATGTTATATATATCGGAGATCAAGTTGATCGTCTTCATTACATTGTTCTGCATCACATGCCGGTAATATATAAGTTTATTCATAATTGTTTCTATTCTCACATCAGTGTACATGGTCATAACAAATCTTGTCGTTTAATATAAGAATCTTAAGCAAAATTTAAAATAAATTCAAGCCATTAACATACTCATCATCTACACAATCTTGTACCATGGGCTATTTTTCATGGTTGTCTAAAGACTCTAAACCCTATTTTATTTTGAAAACTGTTGAACATTGCAATGACCTAGGGAGGAGTATCAACGAGAACAAAAGGAAACAGAATCACTTGAATGGAGAAGTCGTGTCGATTGTAATTTTTCATTTGTTCGAACGGATTGTTATAAACCACGGATAAAAACCGACCATATTTGATATCCGAGCGGCTTGATGTTAGCATCACACACACACACATATATATCTTCCTTTTTATAGCAACTTTTTTTTGAACAACTTTATATATCTTCCTATTTGAAAATTTATATCAGTATTTCATATCTATAATCATGGGATCCATCCAAAAAGCCTAATCCTTATTTGTGGCTTATTGTTTGTAATTTAGTATTTGATAATTCACCTCAGTATTTAAGCTTCCAAAATGTCTACTTGTCAGCAAACTCTACCTTCTCGGTTTTAGGGTTTTTTTTTCGGAAAATTCTCAAAAATACCGTATTTTGAAATTTAGCTTCCAAAAGTACCACTATCTTTTAAATGTTTCAAAATTACCACTATTTGTTAAATATTCCGAAAATACCACAAAATTAAAATCAACTTTCAATATTCAAAACTAAACTTTAAACCCAAATTTTATCCCCTAAAAATATATCCTAATTTTATAATAGTTAATCCAAATAATTAAATTAGAAACCCTTGAAAATTAATTTTTATGTTTGTGGTATTTTTGGAACATTTAATAAATACTGGTACTTTTGGAACATATAAAAAATAGTGTTTGTTGTAAAAATAAAATTAAAAATAGTATTGGTTTTAGAAACAAAATATCAAAGTGTGGTTCTAGAAGATTACTCGTTTTTTTTCCATTTTTTTCTTTTGAAAAATTACCACCGCGTAAAAAAATGGAAACCCATAATATAGCATGGAATTTTTATGATAACATGAATCAAATTATGAAATTAAACTGAAATTTAGAGAAAATATATATTATTAACAGCTGGATTTAGATGTAAGAAGATCATGGACCCCAATTCTAAAAAAAAAA